ACTCATTCACTCATTCAATGAGTAACTGTTCATGACCTACAATGCACAAAGCCCTGTGCTAGGCCCTGGGGGAGATACTAAGTTCAAAAAAGGCACTACTTTTATGATGTTCACAATCTAAGGGGAAAATGGCATATGCAAAAATAACTTTAAATCTTCATAAGATTTGTAATTTCATTCTTGGGGACACATTAGTTGTCTCTGAGCAGAGGCAACATGACATAGTGGAGACACATAGGCAGATCTAGCACCAAGAAGAGTCGAGTTCCAATCCTGCTTCAGATACTTACTAGCTGTGGGGCTAATCTCTGAGCCTCAGTTTCCTCATTCACAAAATAGGGGTAATGGTAGCACCTGCCTCTCCGAGTTATTGGGAGGATGGGATGAGATGATGTATGGGGAGCTCTCTGTAAATCTTACAGCGCTCCCTAAAGGTCAGCCCATCCCCATGACTGGGCACAGCCTCCTCCAGGACGGGGAGTGGGGTCGTGTAGCCCTCACTGCGGGCCGGGGCATACTGAGTTTGAATTTGCCATGACTCGCGGAGCCTGAGGAGTAGAGGTGGGGTAATCTGTAGAGTGTGTGGGGCAACCACCACAATAACACAAAGGACAACAACACTGAAAGACAACGAAACTCCGACGGGCGTCGTCGTGAGCAACCCTAACATCCGAGGACTGATGGTGAAACATGCCTCCCTCCTCTCAGCAGAAGGGTGGTGGCATATCGGTATGGAACGGGGCAGACTTTTCAGACAGGGACAATGTGTTGCTTTGTTCTTCTTGCCTGTATCTTTTTGTTACAAGGAGAGGGCGAGTCTATTGGGAGTAGGGTTGGAAGTCATTGGCAAGTGATAGGGATGTTTAAAAAAAGTATTAGTGAAAAATGTATGTATGAGACAAGTCTAGAAAAGGATGGTGCCAGATCGCAGAGGGCCTTGAATGACAGGCCAAAGACTTTGGATGCTACCTGGTGGGCAGCGGGGAGTCCCTGAACATTTTTCCGCAGAGGAGCTACATGTTCAAGAAAGGCTATTGTGGAAGCAACACAAAAGATGACTTGGAGGAGGGAGAGGGTGGTGATGGGCATGGCTGCTGGGGGCAGGACCAGAAGGGAAGGGATGGGTGAGAGAGACTTGGCAAGGAGAATAGACAGAAGCTGGGGATCGGAGAGGTCAGGGAGCCAAAGACTACCCAGAGGATATGAAGATGGGAGACTTGGTGAGCAGCCGTGCCCCAGACAATGAATGAGTTGAAAAGGATGAGCGGCTTGAGGGGGAAAGAGGACCAGAGGCTTGGCTTTGGTTTGGGATAGGTTGAGTTTGAGGTGTTTGGGACATGTCTTGTGGGCCTTTGGAGATGCAGGTCTGCAGCTCAGATCACAAGGGATGTGGGACAAGCCCCAGGCCCAAATGAATCCAGGGATCCGGGGGCCTTGGGTTCTGGGAGGAGCCATCTCTCTCAGATTCCACCACCAAGGGGTTCTGGGGAGAACTGGGCACTGCCACAGAGATCTCTCACCGTAACAAGCTGATTTGCTGTTCTCAGAAGCAAAGTAGATACCCTGCCCCACACGCCCACCCGAGTGGGGCATGATCCGGAGGCCACTCTTGAGGATAGCAGCCACCACTGCCACGTTAGTTCCGTGCCACAGCAACCGTCGGTTCTCTAGCTTGTCATGGGCCTGGAACCGCTCTCCCTGGAACATGGGATGGCGAAGTGGGTCAGCACAAAGCTCCAGGTTCTGGGGCCTTACCTAACTGCTCATAGGGTGAAAAATGAGGCCCCAGACCTCAGCCGGGGAAGGTTCCTAGATGTCTGTGGCAAGGGCCTGAAAGGCCCTGGGCTCTCCACCTTCTCCCATTAATATACAAAGTCAGGACTTTGGGCAAGTCACTTTCCTTTTCAAGGGCCTATTTCCTCATCTATAAAATGGCGAAGATGAACTGGCTGATTTCTAAAGTCCCCCCCCAGCTCTAAATTCTATGGTCCTATGTATAAATGGGCTGTGGACCAGGAAAAAAAAAGTTTTTGGCACGGCTTCAAAGACATGAGGCAACATATTTTCATGTGGTCTCCTCCAGCTGTCTTCTCTCTGGGAGGGGGTACTGAGAGAAGGCCAGCACTGGGAAGACGAGGGTAGTGGGTGGTCCTGGCTCCTCTCACCTCCCCCTCTCGATTAATTTTCCAGACATGGAGAATGTGGAGATGAGGCCATCCTGTCTTCTTCAGGTAGGTTTCAATCAGCTGTGGCAAGAAGGGGAGAAAGCTGAGGCTGCTAGGAGCTACGATGAGGAAGGGAAGGAAGGCTGAGGGTGTGCAGCAGGCATTTGGGTAGGGGGAGACTGGCAGCTCTATTGAGGCTTCAGGGCTCCAGTGTCTAAGGGCTGTTACTTTAGACCCAGAGCCACCAGAGCAGGCTGGCTACAAGTCTCTTTTACAATTAATAGTGTGTGGTGGTAGCTACAGTGAAGACAAACCAATTTAGGATTCTAGAATCAGAAAGTCATTGTGGAAGGACTTTAGAAACCACCAAAGCCAACCTTCTCATTGTTCATATGGGGTAACTAATGGTCTAGAGCAGGGGTGGGGAACCTGTGGCCTTGAGGCCACATGTGGCCTTCTAATTCCTCACGTACAGTCCTTTGACTGAGTCCAAGTTTTACAGAACAAATCCTTTTATGAAGGGGACTTGTTTTGTGAGGTTTGGAGTCAGCCAAAAGGCCACACTTGAGGACCTAGAGGGCCACATGTGGCCTTGAGGCCGCAGGCTCCCCACTCCTAGTCTAGAGAAATGAGACTTGTCCAAGGTAAATAAGGGGCATCCAGGATTAGAATTCAACTTTTCCCACTGTTCAACGTCCCTAGAATCTGTAAGATGCCAGTCTGGGGCAGAGTGGATAAAGACAGAATGGTGAGAGTTGGAGGGCCCCAGGTTCCCCGCTCTCCCTCCCATAACTTCTTCTGTCCAGGGACAACCCAGGCTGGTAGAGGCCAGGCCACTGTGCCAATGCAGGATTCTGAGCACTCTCTGCTCCGGGCCTTTGTTGCGCCACACACCTTGTACTCATGAGTGTTGGCTGCCAGTGTCTGCAACTTGCATTTCAGGAGCTCGTAATCACGGTCCAGTGGGTGAGGCACTTCCTCTACCTTTATCTTCTTTTCTTTCTCCTCCTGTCCAGCCTTCAGGGCCTGGGCCAGCTCAATGTCAGCCAGGACCTGGGATGATACATAGCTTGGCCCCTGAGGCCCATGTTCTTCTGCCTACTCTATCCCACCGTCTTCTCAGCCCAGCCCACCCTCTCTGCCTCCCTCTCAGTTTCCTACAGTATCTTCTTTCATTTGACTATCTCTGGTCATTGCTTAGCCCTGTCGATTTGACCTTCTTGCTTGTGTCTGTCTCCTACCACCTGTCCATCCCCCCCCCCATATTTCTATCTGTCCTCCCCAGCCATCTGTCCCATCATCTCCAATTCCTGTCCATCTGCCTTCCCCATCTCCAACCATCTCCCCTTTCTCTAGCTGCCTCTTATTTCTATCCATCTTTGCAACTGTTCAAATGCTCACCACCCCATCCTTTTCCATCTGTCTTTCATTTCCCATCCATCTGTCTCCATCCCTGTCCATCTGTCCCATCACTTCCATCTGTCCCTCCCCCAACCTGTCCATCTATCCCCTCGCTCTCACCAATAGCATGTCCTTCTTGGCCTGAAGGACCTCCAGAGAGTTGATGGGTGGGGGGCGGGTCCTGCCAAAGTTATGGGGGATGATTGTGTAGAAGCGGGAGGACAGCTCCTCAAGCTCTTTTGCCTCTGAGCTCTTCTGGAGGACAGCCTCTAGGGCCTCCAAGGCCTCGAAGCCCTTGGCAATCTGCTGCTTGCTCAGCTTCCCCAAGGGCATCTTCTTAACATCTGTTTGGCAGGGTAGGGGGAGGAGAAGGAGCAGGATGAAGCCCAAGCTCTGAGGGATGGCTCCCTCCAACTCCTATCCCCCTTAATTAGCCCTTCCCCAATTCCCTCCCTTTCTGGCCTCACCAAGGTTCATGGTCTTCATTGCATCATTGAACATATCATGGCTGAAGATGAGGGACACCAGTTCCTGGGTGGGGGGATCTAGGGTACAGGGCTTGACATTCCACTGACCAGCCTGGACCCCATCCACACTGTCCACCTGGGGAAAGGAAGGACGAGGTCATGCCAGAGCCAGCAGCTGCCCCTCTCCCAAGTCCTAAGCTTGGGACTTCCTTTGTGGGACAACACAGGGCCATTGAAGGGCAGTCAGAAAATGGGGGCTTTGACTCCATAACTCACATAACTGCCTCAGCCCCCATTTCTCTATTGCCTTAAGGTTTACAAAGTCCTTTCTTTATGATAGCTATGTGAGGAAGAAAGTGCCAAAACTACTATTTCTTCTATAAAGGAAGAAACTGAACACATTGCCGATGACCACACAGCCAGAAGGTGCTCTGAGTTTACATTATTAGCCCCAGGGCTGCCTGGCCTCTCCTTGTCTACTCAGATGAGCCTGGGAGGAGGTGGTGAGGAGGGCACCCACCGCCCACTGTCCATGAGATAGGGTCCAAGATGCACATGTCGGCATTCAAAGCCTTCCATCCTCTGTCCCACCAACTTCTCTAGCATCTCCCCCATCTCCTTGTAAAGAAAGAAGGAATGGTAAAAAGGCTTCACAAACAGCCGCCATTTCTACTTTACTTAGACGTTACAGAGCCCTTTACTGACACCAGCCCTGGTCAGTGACGGCATTGTCTCTCAAAGCAGAGCCTTGACCCAGCTCTGGAAGAGCACTTGAACCTAGTTTCCATCATGCCCCAGCCCCTCCCCACCTCTCAGACCACGATCCCTCTCCTTGCCCCCACTGGCCTGAAGAGAACAGAAAATCCTTCCTTCCTTCAATCCCCCTGAGGATATAATTTATTATGTTGTAGATTCAGAGATTTTAAAGCTGGAAGAGATCTTGGAGATCATCTAGTCTAACCTTATTTCACAGAGGCGGACATCGAATCTCAGAGAATGGAAATGACCAGCCCAGGGTTATCCAGCTAGTAAGTTAACAGACAGAATTTGAATCCAGGATTTTGTTTTGTTTTACATTCTCTTGGAAGGAGATGAGGAAATACAAAATACACAGTTCTTTTTATCACTAATAGAGATTTCCCCACATCTGCCTAGGAAGCAGGTAGGCCCAGCCATGCTCTTGCCTCCCCAACCAGCTTTGGCTGCCACAAAAGCCAGATTCTCCTCTCTTTTCTTCTCTTTTCTCCTAAGGTAAGCAGGCTGGCAGTGTTCCCCTCATAGAAGTCTCCGATGCAGCACCAGACTAATCGTTGTAAAACCCCACTAGAACCACGGGCCATCCTTGCTCTGAAGCCTCCTAGGGCTCACTATCGTCTTGACCTCTATCATCCAGGTCCTTTTCACACAAAGCTGTGTGAGCTTTGTGTCCCACCCCCCACCCCCCCCCGCAAAAAGGAGGATTCTCGGTCCATTCTTTTAGTTTTCCTGCTTCTGCCCTTGGGCTCATGCCTGTCCCCTCCACCTGGAATGTCTTCGTGCCACAACTACCGTGCCTATCCTTCATGGTCCAGTTCAAATACCATCTCCTCCAGGAAGCCTTCTCTGATACCACTCAAAAAAACCAAACAAACAAAAACCCTTTCCTGCTTCTGAACATCCACAGAACTGCGGCTGGCTTTCCCTTATGACCTGTGTCATAATCTGCCTCACTGTATAATTATTTGGTTCTGTATCTGAGCCCCTCTACAGATGGCGAACTTGGGGGAAGAGTCATCTCTCTTTCCTCCTTGGTTTGCCTCAGCACAGAGCCCTGCACGCAGGACGAGTTCAAGAAATGTTGGATGAATGAGTTAATGAGGAAGAGACAGAAGGGAGGGGAGTGGGTCAGATGGACCACAGAGCCGCGGAGAACGGTGCAGTATGCCTTAATCATCTCCAGATGGAGGGCCAGAAATCATGCATCCTAAAAGAATTGGATCATTCTGCAGGTCTCCCCCTTTTATTCCATGGAATCCTAGTTCCTTAGCACTGCAAGAGTCCTTGCAGGTCAAAAAGATTCATAGACTGTCGGAGCTGGAAGGAACCTTAGACAAGACTTAGTCCAATCTCATTTCATAGAACAGGCCCAGAGAAGTCAAGGTCACATAGTCAGTAAACAACAGAATCAGTACTTGAACCCAGGTCTCGCAGCCTAGCCTCCTCCTCGTCCTCCTTCTTCAACTTCTTCTTTTTCTTCTTCTGTGGGTTTTTTCAGGGTTAAGTGACTTGCCCAGGGTCATACAGCTAATAAAATGTCAAGTGTCTGAGGCCAGATTTGAACTCAGGTCCTCCTGACTCCAAGGTTGGAACCCTATCTATTGTGCCACCTAGCAGCCCCAGCAGCTTTTCTTCTGCTGGATCCTTCTATTCATTGGAAAATACTTGCCCATACCTTCAGAAAAAACTAGAAGACACTTTGGCAAAAAATAGGTTTAAATCAGCATCTTCCATAATCTCTCAAAATCAGCTCCAAATGGACACTTAGTTTAAATAAATGAAAGGCCATTAGAGAAAAATAGTCAGAGCTATCCTTCACAACTACAGTTACAGGTAAAATTCTTAACCAGTTTTGTAGGGATGAGACCACAAAAAAGCACCGAGGAGATCACAAAGATAAAATAGATTGTTTTGAGTATATAAGATTGAAAACATTTTTCATGAACAAAATGAATGCAGCTAGGATAAGAAGGGAAGCAGTTGATTGGGGGAAAAGATCTTTGTATCTAATATCTCTGATCAGGGTCTGACATCTACAGTGTATAGGTAGTTAACACAAATATATGGGCAGTGAGGTGGTGCAGTGGATAGAGTGCCAGCCCTGGAGTCAGGAGGACCTGAGTTCAAATCTGACCTCAGACACTTACTAGCTGTGTGACTCTGGGCAAGTCACTTCATCCTGTTTGCCTCAGTTTTCTCATCCATAAAATGAGCTAGAGAAGGAAATAGCAAACCACCCCACTATCTTTGTCAAGAGAACTTGAAATGGGGTCATGGAGAGTCAGATAAGACTGAACAAACTCAACAACAATAAAAATATAGACCCAGAGACATTAACCAATAGATAACTGGTGAAAGAACATAAACACAGTTCTCAAAAGAAGAACTGCAACTATTGATTCTCCTTGTGAATAACTGTTCCTTTAATTACTAATAATAAGGGAAATGCAAATCAAAACAACTCTCAGGTTTCGCTTCATACCCAGCAAATGGTAAACGTGACGAAGATGGAAATTATTAACACTGAAGAGGCTGCAGGGAGACAGACACACTACTGTACCTTTGGTGGAGCTACAAATTGGTCCAATCATTCTAGAAAACAATTTGGAATTATAATAAAAGGAAGTGACTAAACTGTCCATTATCTTTGATCCAGAGATCCCACTGCTAGGCACATACTCAAGGAGAAAGAACAAAGGTAGGAAGAACCATCCCACACATACCGAACCATTCATTCTAGCACTTTTTGCAGTAGTAATGAGCTGGAAACAGTGTAAGTGACCACTGGGTAGGAAAGACCCTCCTGAACTGTGAATTTCATGAATACTATGGAATATTATCGAGCCATAAGAAGCAAGGAATAGGAAAAATTCAGAGAAGTGTGAGATTTCTATGAACTGATACACAGCGACGCAGATCCAGGAAAACAATAGGCACAAGGATTACAATGACATAAATGGAAAGAATAATTCAAAAAACATGAGAGCTGGACTTCAAGTTAGGGAGATGTGGGTTCAAGTCCCACCTCTGATACACATCTATGTGATTACAATCAAGTCACTGACCCTCTCAGTGTGCCAGGAAATTCTCCAAAACTATAAGTTGTAGAGGGAATTCCTTATACCAGTGAAATCATAGTTCCACTATCCTCAAAACTATAAATAGTATCTACAGAAAATAAAAAAGTATTATAATCTATAATAGAAAAATACTATAAGCCTTCCCAACAACAGCAGGAATAAAGCAAGAATATCCAGCATCACCACCATTATTTAATATAGTTCTAGAAATCCTAGCTATTGTAAAAAGAGTAGAAAGAAACTGAGAAAATAAACACAGGCAAAGAGGAAACAAGTTTTGCTATTTTCAGATGATATGATGATTGAAAAGGAAATCAGTTAGTATTGATTACTTTGATTAATTTTCAGTTTGTAGGAGTAAGCTCCCTTCTTTGGGAAAAGCCAGCCCTGACAGCTAAGCCAAATTAACATAGATATTTTCTTAATCCTAGGTTGCCTATAGATTTAGTGAATAGATTGATAAGACTTAATCATTTAGTAGTGGATAATTTAGAGTAAGACCCCTTTGTAGGAATAAACTAATCATAGGGTTATAAGACTCTTTTCAAAGGCTAAGTTCCCCTCTCTGGCAGCTGGAAAAAGGGGTTGACTAAAGAGTAATTCCTCTTTCCAGTCTTAGTGGATAAGCTTCCTTTTTTCTTGAACTAGAAGTTAAGTCTAAGTTGAGTAATGGAACTTTTCTCTGATCAAGGCTTAATATCCAAGACATAAAAAAGAATTCATATAAATATATATGAATAAGAGACAAATCATCAAAGTTCTCCAATGAAGAGATACCAATAGCCATATGAGGAATGTTCCAAGTCATTAATAATATAAAAAATGTAGGTTAAAACAACTCTGAGGTTCTACCCCACACCCACCAGATTGACAAAGATAACAAAAAAGGTAAAATGGCAATGTTGTATAGAAGGCATATGGGAGGATAGGTATGCCAGTGAATTGTTTACGGAGCTGTGAATTGGTTCCACCATTCTAGAAAAACAATTGGGAAGTACTTCCAAAAATTCACTAAAGTGTAAATACCCTTAAATTTAGTAATATTACCATTAGTCACATACTCCTAAGAACGTCAAGGTCAGAGAGGGAAAGGACTCATATATACAAAAATATTTATAGAAGCACTTTTTGTTATAGCAAATAACTAGAAACAAAATAGGTGTCCATCCATGGGGGAATGGCTGAACAAATTGTAGTACATGAATATAATGGGATTTTATTATGCTCTAAGAAAAGAGGACTACGATGGATTCAGAGAAACATGGAAAGACTTATGTGAATTAATGCAGACAGCAGTGAGCCTAACCAAGAGAACAGTTTACCTGATGATCACAGCACTGTGAGTAGAAACAGCTCTGAAAGACCTCAGAACTCTGACCAAAGCAGATACCAAATATGACTTCAAAAGTCTGAGAATGAAACATACCTTCCACACTTTGGCAGAGAGGTATCACAGCAGACATACATTCCCAGACATGGCTTATGTGCTTATGTGCTGATTTGTTTTGCCTGACTATACTATATTTGTTACATAGCTTTTACTCAGAGTGGGAGGGAAGTGTGTTGATAGGTAGTAATAGACATGGGGAAAAAAAAAAGAATAAAAAGTTATTTTTATTCATTGAAATCAATTAACTTTAAATGGTTACTAAATAGATTTAGGTGGTTATACTGATGTCCAATATTAAGTTTTTAATAAAACATTTTTTAATAAGAAACCTTAAGTTCAGATCAGAACAAAATGTTCAAGGAAACCAAACACTGAAGCTGAAGAAAAGTTGAGAAAACACATCTCTTGCACTTTGAAAAGACCTCATTCCAGGGAACCATTTGAGTTTCCAAATTAATAGGCCTAGGCACTATTTTTCTTATATCCAGAAAAGCTGGTAAAGTAAATTTTCTGAATCGTTAGGGTCAGGCCAGAAATGACCTATCTAATAGATTTTCATTTCATAATCTCAAGGATGGAGTCTGAGTCCCTTCTGAATTGTGGGAGAATCAACCCATAAAAGAGGGATCCTCTGTAAAGATTAACCCCCAAAATCCTGTGCTTGCAACCATAAAATGGAGCAGCCATCCAAAGGCTGCCTGGCATGGGGATAGGACTGGAGACCAGGTCATGCAAAAATCAGTTGAAAGGGAATATTTACTCAGGAAAGATTGGGGGGGGGGGGGAATAGCTGGCTTCAAAAATTTGAAGGCTGTCACAAGGAAGAGAAAAAGCTTTATTCTATTTGACCTCAGAAAGCCAACTAAGGAACATCAGAAGGAAGTTAAAGATTTAGGGGAACATGACAGTAGTCTTCACATGTTTGAAAGGCCATCAGGAGGAGGAAGGATTAGATTTGCTATGTTCAAGGACAGAACAAGGAGCAATAGGGGAAATGGCAAAGAAGTATATTTGGGTGAGCTGTTAAAGAAAGTCTTTGTGACATTTAGAATGACCCCAAAGTAGAACAGACTGCTTTACTTTTCAGGGTTCCACTCTCTTGGCCCCCAGTGCCTACCTAGCTCCGTGCCTGACACATAGCAGATGTTTCTATGTGCTTATTGGCTGCCTGAGTGCGGGTGAAGCTCCCTCTCACTGGAGGTCAGAGAATCACAGATTGAGAACTGAAGGAGGACTTAGAGGCCATTTCATTCAACCTTTCTATTTTTCAGATGAGAAAACTAAGGCCAGGAGAGGTTAAGTAACTAGTGGAAGATCAAACTGTAATATTCAAGCCAGGATTCATACCCAAGCCTTCTAACTTCAAATCCATCCCACTTCCCATTGTGCCACATGAAGGCTGGCTGGGTGGGCATGTATGGTATGTATGCAGTGGGGATGCTCCATTCCTGCTCTCCTCAACAGAGGCTGAGACATCCCTTTCAACTCTGAGATTCTATAAAGTTGGAATAATAAATAACCACATACAACTTCCCCCACCCCATTCCACTAATGAACTCATTAACTCTTCTATCTCCATTCTTACTCCTGGGCTCCAGCTGGAGTCTAAATATTGAACTTGACATGGCCTTCTGTACCTCTGGTGGGTTTTCAGTAATTCTGGGAAAGGTCTAAAGCTCCTTGTGGTTAAATGAAAAGTCAGTGAGTATGGGGTCAGAGGGCTCGAGTGCCAGTCCCAGCTTGGCCATTACTGGCTTTGTGAACTTGGACAAGGCACTCTCCCTCTCCTTTTCTCCTTCTGTAAAAGTTCAGGGCTGGATTCTAGGTGACCCCTAGCATTCTTTCAAAGGATCCTATGATCCTTTATTTAATTTTGTCCCAGGAAGGCTTGACAGGCACCCAGAGATGTGCTGGACCCAACTTGAACCTGATTGTTAAGTTTTCAGTGTGAGCACTTATGCCTTGAACATCAGTAAACTCTACTAGTCAAGACCTGATCTATTGTTTTGTTGATAGTGGGGACTCATAAGAAAGTGATAGAAAAAAATATTCATAATGCAGATTAAACTTACAAGTGTCCTGCATTTTTTGGAGAACTAGTTGTTAAACACTTTAAAAGCACCCACCCCCTACCCCAGGGCAGCGGCCCCAGAGGCTTGGCAGCAGGCCTAGAGAAGAACAGAAGTTCTCCAGTGGCGGGTAGTTGTTGAGGAGGAGATGTGGTGGCCCAGGAGAGGGAGGGAGGTTTGTCGTATCACTCGATTCTTCTAGCTCCATAACATCTCTTTTATCATTCTCTCTGAGAACACAGCCTCTATTCTAGTTCAGGTCCTCATCACTTTTCACCTGGAGACTCATCTGGACTATTGCCAGACCTTCCTAACTGCTTCCTCTCTCCAGTCTGTCCACACAACTACCAAATGGACAGTCCTAAAACACAGATCTGACCATGTCACTTCTCTTCCCCAAAATATTCAAGTGCACAGCCCTGCCTCACTTAAATCCAATTCACTCAAAAGGCAAGATATCACCCTTGTCAGGAGGACCTGAATTCAAATCCGGTTTAGACATCTGACACTGGCCGTGTGACCCCGGACAAGTCACTTAACCCTGGTTGGAGGAGGAGGAGGAGGAAAAACAACCATCTGTGAGTAGTAGTAGCTACACCCCACACCCACATCCAATTGGCCAGTTCCAGTTAGGCAATGCTGCTATTTCCTTCCTTCCTCTTCCTATATCTTGGGGTTGAGGGCTAGATTTCCATCCTCCTCATTTATTTATTTTTTATCTTTTCCCCCCTAAAACTGGGACAATTAACTCTTTTGTCTCATGTAGTTTTCATTCATGATTTCTTGAAATAACAGCTCTGATAATCTGATAATGACCATTGGAATTCAAATGGAGCTACTCTACTATGCCTTTAAACCCAAATCACTCTAGCTCTCAATGATTGGCCAATAATAGGTCCCAACCCAAGTCTCACTTGATCATTGTTTGGGTTTTGATGGCTCGGAATAAGTGTATATAGCAACTGTTTCTGTTCTGGCCAGAAACCCGGAATGTCTTCCCCTCCCAGACTGATTCTTTTGGGAAGTCAAACTAGGCCTTCTTTTGCCTCAAAGCCTTTAGTCACTGAATGGGTGTTGCCTCAGACAAACTGAGACTTGGAAAGACTTTAGCTTAAAAGGCCGGGGGGTTTCCCATTGCATTTGGGCCATCATCAGTCATCCTGACCTATGTCTTGCTGCTGGACTCAGAGGAGAGAGTAAGGCTTGTGACTTTGCACAGCTCTGCCTCACTTAAATCCAATTCACTTGCAAGTCAAGACATCACCCTCCTGATGTCATTGATCCTCTTTGAGAAAGGACAAACAACATCCCCCTAGCTTTTAGCATGCTTTCTCTCTTGAGATTACTTTGAATTACTCTGCAAATACTTTGTATTTACTTATCTCTATGTATTGTGTCCCCCTCCCCCCACACTGGAGAACATAAGCTCTTTGAGGGAAAGGGTTATTTCCTTTTTGTCTTTGTATTGGAGAATCCCTAGCACCTAATTCAGACATTTAATACATGTGTGCTGTTCATCTGAAATGAGATCTGGACCCTGGAATCCTAGGCGCAAACCAAAGAGATGGATAGAGAAACCTGGGGGTAGAAGGAGGGGGGTAGTCAGTGGGCCTCGAGCCACAGCCTAGGCGGCAGGGCCCTGCCTAGGTCAGAGGGGACAGGAAACCATAGGGAAAGTACTGCATGCTGGTCTCTAGCTGATTTTCCAGGGTTCAGTCAAGCAAGCAAGCATTTATTAAGTGCCTTCTGTGTGCTAGGGTTTGTGTTATGCACTGGGGATTCAAAGTAAAAAGAAAAAATGAAGAGCCTTGGCTTTGAAGAGCTTCTCTTCTATGAGAGAGGGATTCTCCTCCCCCAGCAGAGGACCCGCAGCCTGGGTGGGACTGGAGCCCAGTTTGCCCCTGTCTCTGCTGTGGCCCTAGCCCCCACTGGAGTGATTCACAGGCCTCATACAGGCTGGGGGAGGAGGTAGAGGAGGGGGCCCCAAACCTGGCATCAGGACCCACACCAACCAGGCCCTCTTTGAGGCAGTGAACAAAAACTGCCCAAGGCAGCGTGCTAGAAAACAAGTTGGGCTAGTCTTTGAATCAGAAGACTTGGGTTCTAGTCCCGTCTCAACTGCTGACTGAGTGATCCCAAGCACGTCACATCCTCTGTCTGAGATCATAATACCGCCTATTCCCTCCTGGTGAGGATCAAATGATAATAATAACATTTCTGTAAGGCTTTGAAGTATGCAAGGCATATTATTCAGGTGTTGGGGGGCATGATCTCATTTGAACTTAACAAAACTTCTCTGAAGTCAGCTATTACAGGAATTAATGATGCAAATTATTATTAGAGATGAGGAAACTGAGGCTCAGAGAGGTAACGCCCACAGTCACACAACACCAGAGTGGAATCTGAACCCAGCTCTTCCTGTCTCTAAATCCACCCCTCTAGCATCTCGTTTTTGCATAGCTCAAGCTGCCTTGACAGCAGCTTATAGAAAGCACTTTGCAAACCTTGTTCATGAAAGCCCTGCCTGTACCATCAGCAAAGGATTGTAGACTCTGCTCTTATGGTGTCTACTTTATACCAGAGGATCCAGCATGGACTCATGGGGCCATCCACTCAGACTCCCTCATTTTACAGAAGGGGAAATCGAGGCCAAGAGAAGCTGGGCAAGTTGCCCAGGGTGCCACTGCTAGAAGCGTCTGAGGTGGGTTTTGACATTTGCCCTCCCTGACTTCAAGCCTAGCACTCTATTTGGTTCTCTGTACGCAGCTTTGATTCGCCCCTGCTATGCCTAGGAAGGGGTCCCCTGGAGATACCTGGGCGGGACTCACCTTGACCACGCCCTCCTGGCCCACCTCACCATCATCGGCCTGCACTTCGATGAGCGTGTACTTGCCCGGATGGGCCACAAAGTTGTCTCTGTCAGCCCAGCGGTTCTTGGTTTTTTCCTGGAACTTCTTCTCAAAGCCTCGCTTGGCTTCATCCAAGGAGGGGAAAAAGCTTAGCTTGAACTGGCCGGTCTCTCCCTGGACAGATGAAGGCAGGCGTGGCGCTCTGTTCCAGCCCTGGGCTCCCTCCACCCCTTCTCCTGACAGCCCCCTGCGTGAGCTGGTGCCCTGAGACACCCAGCCACGGGAGCCACTTACCACTCTACCCCAGCGGTTCCAGCAGGCGTAGCGCCCGTTGTCATCCACCAGCTGGATGAGGTAGAATTTGTTGTTGTTGTTTCCTATGTTGGTCTGGTTCAGCGTACAGTCGTAGTCCTCGTGTACCTGGGGGCAGAGGAGGGGAGAAGGGGAGAGCCCCAAACCCCCGCGTCAGGGCTCACACACAGCTGGCCTTTGGAGGACATGTGGCCATCAGACAGCCTTCTTTCCCTCTCCTCCTGCCATGGGCCTCATGCCCTACCAAAGGCTTGGAACGCATCCAGAAGTCCTTTCTAAACCCCCCCACCCTGGGGCCCAGAGGCTTCTGCTCTTCCTTAATTTCAGGGCCTGCTTGATTCATTGAAAGAAGAGATTGACAGCTCCCAATTCCCAATTCCCTCGGCCAAGCCCCTAGACCCAGGGCAAAGCCATTCAACAGCTCCTAAGAGGAGGGAGCTGCCCTGTGGACTGGGCCCACCTGGACAGCAGGGTTGCTGCTGAGTTGGCACACGGAATCCACCCGAGCCTTTCGTGTCTCCTTGGGGGCAGCTTTAAGGGCCTCAAGGGCTGAGCGGAAGTCATCCTCTGCCTCTCGTTTCTCCTTCTTGGGTGTTCCAGTGCTTACAGAAGCTACCTTGCGCTTAGGAGCCATTGAGGAAGCCTGTGGACATAGATAGGGTGTTCAGAAACTCCTCCGCCCCTGCCTTATGAAAGACAGTGTGGTCTAGTGGCCAGAGAAAGTCCTTGGAGCCAGGAAGGTCTGAATTTGAATCCTACCTCCAATATGTGATGAATGAAAAGCCTGAGAGACACAATTTCTGGATAATTAATAATCAATTTGTTAATTAGGCTAGCTAATAATCAACAAATTGATGGTCAAGACATTGAATGCCTTAAATATTTTTATGAAACGAATGCCCCTGACAGGAGAAATCAACCCTGATTGGTAGACATTTAAATGAGAAAGTGAGCTAAAAGTCTCCAGCTTCTGCTGGGAACATAGCTTGATCATGAGACTCAGCCACCTCCAGCAGTCTGGACAGGGGAATCCATCTCTACTCAGACCACCCTGGTTGGTTTTCTCCTTTATGAGCCCCATGGGTCACCCTAAACTCCAATGGAGGGGTATAGGGACGTGGGCTTATTCCCAAAGGGTACGAATTCACCTAGATTAGATTCTGTCTACACTCTGAAGAGAAGTAAGGTCTCCTAGTTGGGTGGGGTCCTGCCGAAGATCCATGAGCAAGTTCCCTGAGGATTAGGGCAATCTCATCTACCCGTCATGCCCTTAAGAGACTGGCTGACTGGTCTACAGGGGCTGGTCCCTGAATGAAGAAATAAAAAAGCCTGGATCCTCATTAATAATGGGTTATTAATAGAAAATAAACATTTCTCTCAGATACATACTAGCTGTGTGACCCTGGGTAAGTGACCACCTCTGTTTGCCTCACTTTGCTCACTGATAAAAGGATGGGCTCCAGCCCTAAGTCCACAATCCTTTGTACCAGACCCTCTCCAGCTTTGCACCAAGTTATTTTATAATCAATCCCATCCTGCTTTTCCAACCATTTCCCCAATACACACCCTCTGCTACAGCCCAAGTATGCACCTCCTTGTCTTTGGTGGTGCTAAAGCTCCAGGGGGCTTGGAGTTGGAAGACCTGAGTTCAAATTTGTCCTTGGACACACACCAGATGTGTGTCCTTGGGTGAGTCATTTAACCTTTGGTTGCCTCAGTTTATTTATCTGTAAAATGGGGATAATAACAGCATTTTCCTCCCAGGATCAAGTGAGATGATCTTTGTAAAGCACGTAGCACAGTACTCCTGTGAGCCCATAATAAGCGTCACTAAATGTCATTGTTGTTAGCTAGGTGGTATAGTGGATAAAGTACCCGGCCTGCA